ATGAGCTCTCAGGTTCTCATTCCGCTCTTGCCTCTGACGATACAACGTCTAGCATAGGGCAAGTTCGAGAAGTGTCCATGGTCAACACCGAGCAGATAGCCAAAATCATTGAAGAGGCCCTGGCTAAGCAGAAGGAAATCTTCAAGTTCGAAAAGGAAATGGCTATGCAAGAGATGAGACAAATGCACGACCAACAAATCCGAGCTTTGTCGAACCAGCTAGTTGAGTCCAATAATGATAACACTGGGGGTGGCCGTATCATTCCTCTCGACAATTGTCCAAAACAGGATATAGATCAGGCCGAAAAGATGAAGGATCTCGAAAGAAAAATCGACGCCCTGATGTCTGCTCGAGAGGTGAAGAGGACCGGCATTCCGCATCCTTACCCAAGAGAGTGGGATTTGATCCCGTATCCGGCGAAGTTCAACCTGATCAACTTCACGCCGTTCGGCGGGAAGGGCTCCCCCACTCAGCATCTGATCTACTTCAAGTCTCACTTAGGGGTGATCTCGGGCAACGAGCCTTTGATGGTTCGGTCATTCGTTGGCAGCCTTCGCGGGCCCGCCTTCGATTGGTACCGCCGTCTCAAGCCCGGAAGCATCAACAGCTGGGAGGACCTGGAAAGCATGTTCCTCGCTCATTTCTTCGATGATGACATCGAAGTGTCGGTCAGGACACTCTTCGATATGAAACAAAGAGACGGAGAGACGGTGGACACCTTCATCAAACGCTTCCGCAATCAGGCAATGAACTGCAAGGATCCCATCACGGAGGAATTCATATTGCAAACTTGTCATAACAACTTGTCCGTTAACATCTTGGATGTTATGGGAATGGAGCCGCTCAATACCTGGAAAGAGTTGAAGGTGCGCGGAGAACAGGCCGAACGCTTCCTCAGAAGGAGGAAGGCCGAGAGGAGCCAACCGATGGTTAGCCCTCTGAATTCGAGTCTCGTACCTCATGATGAAGGGGACACACCTGCAACAGTTATTGACGATAATCAAACGTCACAACAACAGCTTCGAAGACAACAGAATACTTTGGATCGAGAGGCCCAGGAAGAGTACTCGTTCAAGGACAAAGATATTCCCGCCATCTTCGAGTCTCTTCTCGAAAACAACAAAATCAAGCTCCCGCCCATCATGAATCAGGAGGAAGCTGACGATTCTGCGGATCCAACGTACTGCGCGTACCACAGGAGGATTCTTCATCCCACCAAGGCTTGCTCTACTTTAAAGAATAGCATCCAAACCTTGGTTGAAGCCGGCGTTATAACGCTAGGGTAAGCCAATTGAGAACGGCAACACTCCGAAGAGTATACGAGTATAAACTGCTTCTCAATCCTCCGACCGGTATAAGAGGTTAAACTGTTCCCCGATACTCCAACAGGTATATGAGTCTAAACTGTTTCCCACTTTTGACGGGAAGTTCCTGGAGGATATTATGCTAATATTCTTAAGGATAACCCGGTCGGATAACAAAGTCAAACCCAGTTCCAAGAGAGAGGCTGGGGGTGGATAACCAATGTATCGGGAAGTTCCCGGAAGAATACCACATGGATATTCTTAGGGATAACCCGGTCATTGTGGAATTGATGAATAAGAAATTCACATTCGAATTCACGTTCGAACTCTGTCTCTTCTTATTCTTATCAAAATTCTCTAACTCTTAGGAGTTATTTTTGTGAGATGAGATCCAATCCTCTGGTAGGTTAATCTTTCCTCACCAAACCATCCGCTGATCAAATTAAACGACAGGGGATCCACCAACGTTTCCATTTGCCCGTCGTTGGCATTTCTCAGACTCAACATGTTAGGTCAGAATCACCTAGCATTAAAATCTCCCTTTGAGTGATAATACGAGTTGGAACTTTCTTTGCTACCCGTATTCCACTTTCTTTGCTTTCTGGCCAAACCTGTAAAAGTTAGGACCAAAGCCACAATCCCCTCTCGATTCCTCCAATGAACGAGAGGTCCACTTTCAAATCGAGTGACCCAAACCTTCCGACAGTTAGGGTTATCCGAATCTTTCCGATTCTCGGAGTGGAGATCCCACTCTTAGTTTCATCCTTCCGGATTCTGGGGGTGGAGATCCCACCTCGAGTTTCCTTTTCAACAGAAGATAGAATATAAAATTCTTCCTCTTTAGCGCCGGGAGATAGAATATAAAATTCTTCCTCTCCCGTTTCTCAATCTGTCTTTGCTTTTTAGTTCTTAACCGTTAAAAAGAACACTCGTTCACATATTCAACATTGTGGCAGGTTGTTATTAATAACACCATAATCCGTGCCTCACACGCACGGGGAATTTTATCCTGAATCCTAAGTAAGGATAAGTCAACACCTAACCCGTGTTGCCGGGTAGCCTATTCCCGTAACAATAGCAAAGCCTATGTATTCAACATCATAGCACAAAGTCTAAGGGAATTCACTCTCTTAGCACAACGTTACATGCGGAACGGATTTAGACAATCTGCATGCTAGCCCGACTCAAACGGTAGTCGGTAAAGGCTAATCAAATCCGTTGAAGGCTGGGGATTAGCCAAAAATCCTAAAGTCAACGCCTAACACGCGTTGCCGGGTAGTCTATTCCCGTGAGAAAGACGAAGTCTACGTATTCAATATCGTAGCACTAAAAGGGTTAACTCTTTTAGCTTAAACGTCACATAGGAGCGGACTTAAACAATCCGCATGCTAGCCCGACTCAAACGGTAGTCGGTAAAGGCTAATCAAATCCGTTGAAGGCTGGGGATTAGCCAAAAATCCTAAAGTCAACGCCTAACACGCGTCGCCGGGTAGTCTATTCCCGTGAGAAAGACGAAGTCTACGTATTCAATATCGTAGCACTAAGAGCGTTAACTCTCTTAGCACAACGTCACATGCGGAACGGACTTAAACAATCCGCATGCTAGCCCGACTCAAACGGTAGTCGGTAAAGGCTTATCAAATCCGTTGATGGCTGAGGATTTGCCAAAAATTCTATAACTGCGAGTCATTGACGCATCAACTCCCCTAGTTGGTCTCGTGACTTGAGCATCCAACAAATTCAGGATAAAATCCACACACGCAGATGAATCAGCTTTAACAGTTGGTCCTGCAACCCCGAAACTTGGGACCGCCGTGTTCTAATACCTTAAGAGCTTAAACTGTGTATACTCCAGCAAACGTACGAGTATAAACTGTGTTAATGGCGATTCGAAACCCTAGAGTCAACGCCGGCCAACGCGTAACCCTAGGTCAACGCCAATCAACGCGTTGCAACAAAAGTCAACGTTCGACAATTCGAAACCCTAAGGGTCAACGCCGGTCAACGCGTAACCCTAGATCAATGCCAGTCAACGCGTTGCAACCAAAATCAACGTTTGACGATTCAAAACCCTAGGGTCAACGCCGGTCAACGCGTAACCCTAGGTTAACGCCGGTCAACGCGTTGTGATAAAAAGCCAACACACGATGATCCGAAACCCTAAGCCAGCACAATGTGGCAGAGGTAGTTCAAAGTCAACTCAATGACACGAGCCAAACTCAATTCATCAGCTGCAAACTCGAGACTCCAACGACGGCCAAGCGATAAACGTAGCGCCGGAAGAACTTCGGCTATTCGTCAAAGCATCGAATAGACCGAAAATCGAAGGAGCCAAGAGTTGAAGCTAACCACAGGTCCTGATGCCGACTGAAGGCTAGACCAATCACATCCAAAGTATTCCAGCCTCTTCTATAAAAGAAACGAGTCAGGAACACTTTGGAGGGGGTATCTGTAGGCATCGAAAATTGCCTATAGGTCTCCACGAACGGTTCAGCGTTAAAGAGCGATGATGAACATCACTATCCGAGCCACAGGAGTCCAATCGACGTCGACGAACGACTGAAGTAAATCGACGAGCTACATGAGCGGATAGGACTTCGGAATCACGAAGACCCGGACCAATCGGGAAGCCCGACACTGTTCACAAAAAGGACAACGCCCTTCATGCCTCGACCACTCTACAGATAATCCAACCACCAGAGTGGATCGAACTCTTCGTCAAGCATCCAACGCACCCGGAATCACTCAAATCCGAATCCGGACGAAGAATATACAGGGGAACCAACAAAACACCTAAACGGAGTCTCGGCAAGCTCGAAACACCCGAGGGGTGTCTTGGCAAAACCAAGACACCCCAGGGGTCTGTCTCGGCTTGCCGCAGACACCCCAGGTGTCTCGGCCTGGCGAGACACCCCCCCCTAGGTGTCTCGCCCAGGGGTGTCTCCGCCTGGCGGAGACACCCAAGGGTGCTCGGCCATCGCGCCGAGGACACCAGCCGGGCGTGTTCTAGGCCCCCTTAGAGCCCTCATTCACCTATTTAAATACCCCCCCTTATTGCCATTGATTTGAGAGGTAGCGAATTTTTGGAGCAGCCTTTGCGCCGAAGCCCTCTGCCAGTGAAGAGTGGCGTGAGCCCTTCAACAAGCGGAGAAGAGGTCTACATCAGCGCTTCATCACCCGTTACCCTCTTGGCCCTTAGTATTAGCCCTTGGCGTTATACTAAGCAAAGAGCTAATACCTCGCCTTTAGCCGAGTATACGCTTAAAGCTTCTTAGATCTTTCACGCGGATAGACGAAGCTCTGCCCAATTTTCTCGGAGCAGATCTGATTGCCCGGTGGTCCACGGATATCAACGTCCCCGTCACAGGCCAAAGACCCACGCAAGCAAGAGATGATAAACGGATCTTGCGTTTGTTTGAAAAGAGTTGTATTTCTTTTGTTTTCATTGTGTAGGAGTCTTATAAAAAGGCTATCTTTTTGTTTCATTGTAACGATTGAAGTTATAATGAATGCAGCAATGAATACAGCAACTTTTTCCGCAAACAATAGTTAATTCTCTTATTTTTAACCTGTTATTCTTTTGCTACAAATTTTGATTTTTTTTTGTCAATGAAAAACTTTTATTCATTTACCAAAATATGGAAATTATGTACATCACTATCTCAACAATGAGAAAACCAAGCTCCTAAACAAAACTTACAAAGATATTAACCAATCTTTTTGATCAGCCGAGATGGGGCTGTTCAAACATAAAGTGAAAATGTCAGTTTTGATGATCTTTACCAATTGATCAGTATTCCTGCTCCCCTGCTGAAAACATCTTCTGTTCCTTTCTTCCCAAATCCTGTGCACAGCAGCCGCAAGCGCCAATCTCCGAACCTTTTTCTTGAATCCCTTCCCTTTCTGTCTTGTGTTATATAAGTTCCAATCACATGTTTGCCAATCTATTCTAAGCCAGTTAATGATGCCTAGCCACACTTCCCTGGAAAAGTAGCACTCAAAAAATAAATGGTTCCTTCTCTCAGAACCTGCACACAGGAGACACTGATTTATATTGATGATCCCTCTTCTCAATAATCTGTCATGTGTTTGTTACCTGTTCAGCACCGCAAGCCACAACATAAACGAGTGCCTAGGGTAATTCAACTTTCCCCACACTGTGTTAAACCAGGGAACTTTTTGTGAGACAGGGGAGAAAGCAGTGTATACTGCTGACAGCTTGATTTTTGAGTTTTTGTAGCAATCACTAAGCAATTGCTTCAGGTTGTCAATGCCTCCAACTTCATTCAAAGCCTTATCCCTACATTTAAGTAGCTGCTTCCACATCCAAGAGTCTCCTCTTTTTGCTTTAACATTCCATACATCCTTATGCTTTAAATAATTCCCATGAATCCATTTCACCCATAATATTTCCTTATTGACATGGATATACCACATACTCCTCATAGCAGTAGCCAGGTTCCAAATAGTTGCAGAGTAAACTCCCAAACCACCTTGAATTTTCCCACAGCATACCTTATCCCATGAGACCAAAGGAGTTTTAAAAGAGTTTTCATATTTCCCCCACAGGAATTGCCTGCAAGCTTCATCAATCCTCTTCACAACCTTAACTGGCAATATGAAATTAGATGTCCAGTAGTTTTGAATACCCAAAATCACACTTTTGATTACCTGAATCCTCCCTGCATATGATAAGTTGTTGTGTCTTGTCCACTTCTGAAATTGATTTGAAATACTATCTAGCAAAGGGTTACAATCCAAATGTGTTAGCCTTTTGCAAATGAGAGGAACCCCTAGGTATTTGAATGGAATGGCCCCTTCTGAGAACCCGTGTTAGCCTTTTGCAAATGAGAGGAACCCCTAGGTATTTGAATGGAATGGCCCCTTCTGAGAACCCCAGGAAATTTTTAATCTCTGTTTTAGTAGCATCATCAACCCCACCAAAGTAAATAGAGCATTTGTCCAAGTTAGCTTCTAGTCCAGTTTTGTCACTGAAATCTTTAACACATTGATATAGCTTTTGGATGTAGACGGTAAAAAATACCTCTATGGGTCTACAGGGAATTTGTCTACGAGAAGAGTTCGCACGC